GACCTTTTAGATACCCTGGGCTCAGATCATGAAATGCCTTAAAGATAAGGATCAAGACCTTCAACTTGATTCAAAATTCTATGGAAAGCCAGTGTAGAGACTGGAGGACAGGTCTGATGTTCTCGTGGTATTCTGTGTTGCTGAGAAGATGCACTGCAGCATTCTAGTTGAAGTTTCCTATGCACTGGTGGCTTCATGCTCGGGTATATTACATTGCTTTAATCTAGATGAGAGGTAACAAAGGTATGAATAACAGCAGCCAGGTCTTTGTCCACCAGGAGAGTCTGCTAGCCCTTTGAAGATGGTAGAAAGCATTACTTGCAGATGCTGCTTAGTGCCAGCAAGGAATCCAAGAGTACTAGACAACAGACTGAATTGACCAAAGAGATTGCATTGTAGTTTCAAACTTTTCAAAATTATTTCCTATGCTCAACAGCATCACCTCTGTTTTGCTCAAATTCAGCTTCAACCAGCTGTTCTTCACCTACAAGCTGATCTTGTCCAAGTGCTGAGCCATTATGGGTGGTAGTGGTGTGGTCAGATATAGTGAAGGATAGGTAGAGCTGTGTGTCATCTGCATAATGCTGGGAATTGAGTCCATGTTGTTTGATCAGTTCAACTAGTGACTGGATGTACACTTGAAAATCACGAGGAGGAGATTTGATCCCTTGTGGAATTCTGGAAATGAGAGCGCCTGTTCATGTTGTACAGTTTCCCATCACTACTCATTGGGTGCATCTCCCCAGGAAGGACTCAGACCATTTTCGTACATTACCCTGGACCCCTGCCATTTATCTCAAGCGGGACAGCAGTATTTCAGTCAATAGTGCTGAATGCTGCAGAAAAGTTCAGGGTGATGAGAATGGATGTCTGTCCTCTATCCACCGACAACAGAAGATCACACATCAATGCCACTAAAGTGATTTCAGTTCCATATTCTTCCCTGAATCCAGACTGTACCAAGTCTAAAATATTAGTTTCAGTTAGATGAGTTTGTAGTTGGCCTTTGGCTAGCTTCTCCATGAACTTCTCAGGAACAAGAGGTTTGATACTGGGCAGTATTTGGCTAGAACTGATGCATCCAGGATGGGTTTTTTCAGTGTTGATTGGACTACTGTATGTTTGAAAGAGAAAGGGAAGATTCCTTCTGTAAATGATACATTATCTATTTCCATCAGGAGTAGTACCAGTTTTTCATGACTGTCTTTCACAAGCCAGGAAGGGCATGGGTCAGGTTCACAAGTCTTGGGTCAAGACTCCTCTAGGGTGTCCAGAACTTCTTGATAAGTGAATGCACTGAATTCTGGGAAGGCAGGTGGGCTGTGTTTGGTAGGTACAGGTAAAGCAGATCCATGCTATTTGAGAAGGCTTCCCAAATGTGCGTATTCTTTTCAGCTAAGTGGAATAATAGTTCTTCAGAGCACTTGTGCTCAGTTTTGTGGCAAGTTGTAGGTATACATGATTGATGAAGAGGTTTACCACCCTGGGTAGCTCCTTGGGGCAGGATTTGGCTGCTTCCTCAGAGGCTGATAGAAAAATACGTTTAGCCTGTAAGACAGCCTCAACATAGGCTTTGAAAAATTCATTATGTTTCATCCTGTTGGATTCAGCCTTTTTTCCCCCCACTGCCATCAACACTCAGGTTTCCACTCCCTCTTCATACGGTGCAGGGGGTCAGAAAACAAGGGAGAAGTGTGTGGGCAATGGAGAGGAAGGGACCATTTAAGGACCAGTGCGTCAGTGGCCAAGGTCAGTGAAGAATGGTAATGATTCACCAGGTCTTGGTGATCCAGGTATATTGGGTGCTTAATTGCCGATGAAGTCATGTATTGTTTATTATTAGCAGCAGATCTTGCATTGTTCAGCCTCAGCTTTCGTTTGTGTTGCTTTGTGCTATCTGCTTCTGACCTGTGCCTTGACAGTGGTCCTGTGCAGTGTATAGGTGTTGGATGTCTGGAACCTGGTTTCTTATGTCTGCTTTTCTGTTTCTTTAGACAATTCCTCCCACTTTGAACTGTGACAGGTGATGAAGTGGACGGTGCCATGGGATGATCCGAGTGGAGGAAAAGTTGTCTGGTTTGCCAGATGCCATGGGAAAGGCAGGTCTGTTGGATACCTTTTGGGAGCTATAACCTGGTAAATCCTGGAAACAGGGAAAGTTGAAGCAGTGTGCTCCTGGGGTACAGTTGTTGTACTGGAAGCCTGGTGACATAACAGCAATGGAAATACACCTCTACCCCGATATAACGCTGTCCTTGGGAGCCAAAAAATCTTACTGCGTTATAGGTGAAGCCATGTTATATCGAACTTGCTTTGCTCCACCAGAGTGCACAGCCTCACTCCCCCGGAGCACTGCTTTACCACTTTATACCCAAATTCGTGTTAAATCGAGTAGCGTTATATCGAGGTAGAGGTGTAGTAATAATAGTGACTGTTGGTAACTTTCCACTACATCTCAACTCTGAGATTCTGGAAGATAGTCTCGTTACTTTGTATTTGAAACCAAGATCTTTTGTGGCTTTCTGCTGCAGCGTCATGTGAAAGCTGGTCTACACACAAACTTGCACTGAAATAACTGTCACTTTTAATTCACACCATTTGTTATTTCAGTGAAAGTCAGAATAAAAGTGCTCTAGACTGACAAGCAAAATCAAAATAAGACACTTTTATTCCAAATTTTCACACAGTCTTGCACCAAAATAATAAGAGCTGTGAACTAAACCTGATTTAGTGATTTAGGTGCAGATTTGTGTGTAGATAAGCCCCCAGGATATACTTGTAGCCCTGTGGCTAGGCTGGTTTCAGAGTAGCAGCCGTGTTAGTCTGTATCCGCAAAAAGAACAGGAGTGCTTGTGGCATCTTAGAGACTAACAAATTTATTAGAGCATAAGCTTATAAATAAATAAATATGTTTGTTAGTCTCTAAAGTGCCACAAGTACTCCTGTTCTTTTTGATGTTAGGCTGTAGCTCAAGTGGTAATAGCTTGTACTGTGGTACTGAAAAATTAGGGTTCAGCCCTCATGATAATTTATGAGGGGATGGTCGGTACATAATATAATTTGATATTTTCTTATTTCCTATTAAAACAAAAAAGACCTAGGAAGTTACATTAAAATACATTACAAATGTTATTTAGGTTGGCCAGTCAACTACTTGAAAGTTAGGAAATGCAAGATTTATGGTTGCCTGTGTAATCTGTTTCTGCTCCCTTGTGTGTATGCATTATAATACAGTCTTTAATTACATGATCATATGCTACCTTTTTTTCCACAGAATCCCAGTCTTATTCAGGGCACAGAATTGACACACGGGAGGTCAAGTGCTTGAAACCAAAATAATCTTCTTTTAATGTGTGGGGGAGGGGAAGAGGGGGTTATTCTATGTATATATAGGAGCAGATTCTGTTTTCAGTTATGCTGGTGTAAAGCCAAAGTAAATCCATTCTGGAGTTACTCCAGCTTTACTCCACGTGAGATCAGAATCTGGGTCATAAACGACTCAGGATGAGATGATGTGAGGAGGAGAAGGAAAGAGGGGGAAGAAGAATCTTACTTCTGCAGCTACCATGATGAAGTTTGCTCAGTGAATAATATCCGGCAGGCCCCTCGCCAGTGTTGTTGTGGCTGAAAGTGAGGAATTGAAACCCTGAAGAAGAGGAAACATCTGCTTGAATTTGTTTAGAGGGAAAAGTTGCTGTTGAGAATCCAACTGTAGGAGATCCAAGCAAGCCAAAAGCACTGCAGGTTTGTGGAGATTGGTCTGTTTGCATTTTCTCCTGCCATTAGATATAAAATGCAATGTAGATATGTGAGTTACCTGTAAATATACATGGTTTTTTTTTATTATGGTAATAGCCCCCAGAATATTAAAGACCAAAAACCATAAACAAACAAAATTAAGGTTGAGAAGACTTAAAAGTGACAAAAGCAGAGAAATGCCGAGATATGGTTTAGATTGTAAGCTCTTTGCGGCAGTGATGGTATTATGGTTATTATATGTGTGTACAGCACTTGGCATAATAGGGCCTTGACTCCTGATTGAGGCCTATATGTGCTATAATAATAAAATAATAGTAATAATTAATAATAAATAGACTGTCCTCGACTCATTAATTTTTCCTGTAGTGAGAGTTGTAGGACACACGTGTGAAATATTATGTACTGTTCTAAATCCCCTGAAATGAATGGGCAATGAATGAAGAATAAAGATTGTATTTATGATCATACTTATGATAGTATGTTTCAAATCAATTTTTTTCTCATATTAAATGGAGTTTTTATGATTACAAACAGATACAACACACATCCCGAACTGTGGCGCAACTCCTAATAAACCAATGTTCATTTTTACTTCTAAATATATGTGGAAGTTAGTATTTCAAGTTGTTGGACCTGGTTCTCCTCACGTGTACATGAAAGAGTAATTCTAGTCAGGAGTGACTCGAATGAAGGTAATGCAATTTCACAGGTGTGAAATCCATGTGAGAGGGGAAGCAGTCCCAGGGGTGCATATTTAAAGTTCAGCCATCTATACTATTGTTTACGTGTTATCCAAGCAGTATTTTTGATTTGACATGATAATAGTAATAAATACTAATGTTTGTTTCACAATTCAGTGTAGATGTTTGTTAAACAGATGCACTGAGGTGCCTTGATCCCGTTACACACAATTATACTGCTGTGTTTGCATTGGTCCTGTCTGATAAGATACTTATTGGAACAGAAAGCTCTTTTGGTGAGAAGAACTTACAGGCAAAGTATTGTTTGTGGAAGCAGGCTTATTTGTAGGAGATCAATTTTCTATATGTAGGTTTACATCCAAGGGTAGACCCAAAGGCACAAATGGACTGGATGAAATGGGAAGAGGGTGTATTATTAATTAACTTGATGTTCATTTTGTGTGAAATTCTTTATATTCTGCAGATTTCCAGCACTGCCTGCCAGGTCCAGGAAAAACATTATATTCTGCAAACAAGGAGATTGAAGAAGTTCCGGAAACTGAGAAGGAAATGACCCAAAGAACTGTCTCAATATCAGTCTTGCAACACCTCCCATGAATCGGATACTATGCAATGATATTGTCGCGGCAGTACGACAGCTTCAGTCTCAAGCATTTCAATCATCTCTGAGTCTCAGACCCCAAACCCTAACTTAAACGAGATACCAGCCTTTTGCAAGGAGGAGGTAAGCTAGTTTTTGTCTTTGTTTGTTTCTTTGATTGTTTGTTTGGGTTTTTTTATTGATATTTTTATTTCTCAAGGCTCCTATGACATAACACAAACATTTGCAATGGAAAAAAAAAAAGCTATCTTAGATTGAGTTCATCTACTTCCAAGTGCAGATTTGAGGATGGTCTTAGCCAAAATTGTGATGACACATAATTATTTATGATTTATGATCTTAAGGCTCATAAGGATACATATCTAAATGTGAATAAAGTGAGTGATCAGATTCCCAGCACTGCCTGCCAGGTCCAGGAAAAACATTAGCAATATTTTCCCTCGTCTGTTGGGTTGCTTTATTTTGTCTGACATCTATTTTGTGTATCCAGAAGAAAGGTTGCTATCTCTTTCTTCTTTTAAAAAATAATCTAACTGGAAGCATTTGTATGTTGTCTCCTGTACATGAGTTTGTGTTTGGTAAGTTGCAGATCGCTCCATAGAGTGAATCAGTTCTAGGAATAGCATGAATTGAATGTATATTTCAATGACTGATATGTATCCTGGCTTTTAATTTCATTTCAATCCTGTAATAGTGGATGTTGCACATATATGGTGCTCTTAGCATCCGACAGCAATGCATCCATTTATCCTCACAACACCTCTGTAAGGTAAGTATTATTATCCTTATTTTATAAATGGCATTTCTATTTGAGCTAGAGAAGTCTGAATGCCATCGTACAAGGCACTGCTAAGCCCTCATTTGGAATTCTGTGTACAATTCTGGTTACCCATGTTCAAGAAAGAGGAATTCCGCTGGAACAGGTGCAGATCAGCGGAATGGCGAGCCTATCTTAGAAGGAGAGACTCCGCTTGGCTTCTTTAGCCTATCAAAGCAAAGGCTGAGAGGGGATATGACTGCTTTCTGTAAATACTAGCCATCAGTAAATTCAGGCTGGAAATTAGAAGCATTATAACTAGGGCTGTTGATTAATCACAGTTAACTCACGCGATTAACTCAAAAAAATTAATCATGATTAAGATATTTTAATCGTGATTAATCGCATTTTTAATCGCACTGTTAGACAAAAGAATATCAATTGAAATGTATTAAATATTTTGGAGGTTTTTCTACATTTATGTATATTGTTTCTGTGTTGTAACTGAAATAAAAGTGTATATTATATTTTATTATAAATATTTGCACTGTAAAAATGATAAACAAAAGAAATAGTATTTTTCAGTTCACCTCATACAAGTACTGTAGTGCAATCTCTTTGTCGTGAAAGTGCAACTTACAAATGTAGATTTCTTTTTGTTACATAACTGCACTCAAAAACAAAACAATGTAAAACTTCAGCGCCTACAAGTCCACTCAGTCCTACTTCTTGTTCAGCCAATCGCTACACGAGATAATGCTGCCCGCTTCTTATTTACAATGTCACCAGAAAGTGAGAACAGGCATTTGCATGGCACTTTTATAGCTAGCATTGCAAGGTATTTACGTGCCAGATATGCTAAACCAGTGGTCTACAAACTTTTTACACTCAAGATCACTTTTGAATTTAAGGGCAACCCAGGATCTACCTCACCACTTCCCCGAGGGCCCCGCCCCTACCCCAAAGCCCCACCCTGCTCACTCCATCCCCCCTTACCCACCCCGTAGCTCACTCTCCCCCCCACACTCACTTTCACCAGGCTCAGGTAGGGGATTGGGGAGAAGGAGGGGATACGGGATACTGGATCTTGGAGGGGGGGGGTCAGGGCTGGGGCAGAGTGTTGGGGGTGAAGGAAGGGGTATAGGGTGCTGGCTCTGGGAGGGCCTGAGGGCTGGGGCTTGGGGTACAGGAGGGCGTTTGGGGTGCAGGAGGAGATATGGGGTGCTGGCTCCGGGGTGGGACTCAGATCTGCGGGTTGGGATGTGGCCTCCCGCCGGGCCGCAGTTATCTCTGGCTGTTCCCCCGCAGCTTCCATTGGTCACAGCTCCCCATTCCCGGCTAATGGGAGTTGCAGAGGCATTGCCTGCAGGCAGGAGCAGTGCGTGGAGGGAAACCCCTGTCCCCAGGGGCTGCAGTGGTCGCTTCCGGGAGCTGAGTGGGGCCGGGGCAGGCGATTAATTGCGTGATTAATCATAATTACTTTTTTAATAGTTTGACAGCACCTAATTATAACCATCAGAAGAGAGAGGTTCTGGAACAGCCTCCCGATAGGAGTACTGGGGGCAAGAAATCTGAATGGTTTCAAAATGGAGTTTATTAATGGGATTGTAGGCCAGGGCTGCCTGTGATAACAACAGACTGGATTTGATGACGCAGGAGGTCCCTTCCAGTTCTATGTTTTTATAGTCTTTTAGATGGGTAAAAGAGGCATGAGTGACTTGCCCAAGGTTGCACAGCTGGTCAGTGGCAGAACTAGGAATTAGAATCTAAAGTAGGTCTTCTATCTCTTTCTTTTTCCACAGATGGTGCTCTCTCATTAAAGACCTAATAAAAATGAATTTGTTGATATTTGCTCCCATATGAAAGCCAAGCTTATCCTACTTACCCAGTGATAGTGGCCACAGTAATGATAGTCCTCATTACTTGAAAGTTGCATATAGGGCTATTGGAATCAGTTAATCACTACTGTACAATCTCACCAAAGGAGAACCGGAATCAATCTGGGGAAAATGGACACATCCATTCCAGCAGGAAGTCACCTATTAAGAACTAACATTTCCAAGATCTTTTCCTATCTTAGCCTGGGTCCTGAGGGAAAGCTGAGATAGATTTGGATTATTATTTCCATATCACTGCATCCACCCCATCCCTTTCACTCTACCAGTAATGCTTCTCTCGATGCCCTGTTTGGACACTTTTCCCACAAGCATCTCCACATTTTCCTCTATGCCTTTCCCTATGCGTGGAACACCTTTTCTTAACTGATCCTTTTCATACTGAAGTCCCTCCCGAAGACCCACTTCTATTGTAGAGCCGACAAGAAACTAACCAGCTGATTGTGGCAAGGTTGGGAGTTGGGAAAAGTCAATATATTTTATACTAGTTTAAAAAAACCCAAACCTTGTTTTAACAAGAGTCCCCAATCAGAGCATGGCTAATTACCACCTCCCCACACTGCTTGTGTGGCGTACATCCTTCCCAGACCCTCCATCTTGCTGTTTGGTCCTCTTTGTTTTGTCTGCTTAAGAGTATAAATTCTCCTTTTGCTTAGCACATTGTGGGTGCTACTGAAAACATATAAAAATAATAGTAATAGGGCCTGTCAACACTTAAAATGCTGCAGCAGCGCAGCTCACCACTGCAGCTGGGCTGCTGTAGCACTTCAATGAAAAGTCTACCTACGCCAACAGGAAGGGCTCTCCCATTGGCCTAGCACTGTCTACACTGGGGTTAGGTCGGTTTGACGGCATCGCTGCTGGGTATGGATTTTTCACACTGCTGAGCAAAGTTGTTCTAATGACCTAATTTCCTAATGTAGACCAGTACATAGTTAATAACAGAAGGTAACATATAAATGCATGGTTTCAAAGAGGGCAGTATGTACATTAGGAATGCAGTGCAAGTCCATGGCTCCTCCACTTATTTGTGCATTTTATTTATTTTTATTTAAATTTTTCAAAGGCCTCTCCCCAGCTCTAGGTGACCTGGAGGGTATTTAAAACAACAGTCCATCCAAAGAATAATCACACAAGCAGCAACCCATAGTCCACACATCACAAAATGAAATTATATACAAAAGTATATCCCACTCACAACCCCCATCCCATTCAAACCTTATACTCTCCCTGAAAGGCCCAATAGATAGATGGCCTTTGCAGCATATCTAACAGTCAACAGACTCAGGACTAGAGCTAGGTGAAATTTTTCAGTCAAAACTTCTATGTGATGAAAACTGCAGATTTGGTCGAAATGAAATGTTCAGCTTTGGGTCAAGTGAAATATTTAATGTAACCTGAAATTATTATTTATTTTTTGATTCCCCAAACATTTAAAAAAAAATCATTTTTGGCATGACCCAGGATGATTTTATTTTATTTTTTGAAATTGCCAGTGAACTGTAAACTTTCCTCAGCTCCACTCAGCCTATCAGCAGAACAAGGGAAGCAAGTGCCAGAGCCAAGAAGCTCTGACTGAAAATGCCCTCCAGCAGCTCGCTCTAGTTTACCCTGAGGGGGTTCCAGCTAGTCATGCCTCTGCTGACAATACGGCAGGATTAACCGGGGAGGGAGGTGCTCTATTTCAGGCAGAGTCTAGAGATACCAGTGCCACACCAGTAATGGCCAGTTAGCTATAAAGGAGCCCTATTTACACTAGTACTGTACCAATAGCTGACTCAAAGTGATGCAAGGCCTTGCTCCTCACCTTGAGCAGACTGTAAAAGGGGTCATGATACTTGTAAGGTTGCTAAGGCGAAATAGGGACTTTTTGTGGCCCTGTATTCACCCCATAACATGTTATTTAAAAAAAAGAAGAGTGAACTTTTAAAGGCCCCAGGATTACCCCCAATGAATTTCCCAACATGTCCTGATTCTGAGAATGGAGTTTACAGTGCTGTTTCTTGTTCAGTGGTGGGGCAAAGTCCTTTCTGCAGTGCTGCCTGTGAATGTTTCCAACAGCAGCATCATAAAAACATGCACTGTGCTTGCAAAATCATGGCTAGCATCATGGTGGATGAGCTAAGCAGCGGGAGAGTGAGATTTTGAAGGTAGGAGAGGAATGACAAGTGGGAACAAAGAGGAATGAAAAGAGAGCAAAGAGAAACAAGAAATTAGGGAGGGAAGGGAAAGAGGGATCAAGTGGGATGCAGATGAGCAAGAGAGGGATGGTTAGGAATAGCTGAGAAGAGGGACCAATAGTATCTAAGATTCCTGAGCACATCATTGGAGAGAGATAGAAAACATCTTTTGCGTCAAATTTTCACAACTTTCTGTTGAGCTGTAGCACTCTGTGTGATTCGTACTGAAGCTTCGGCAAACTCTCATCCCAGCAGCTGTGCCCGTATTGTTGCCACATAATGATGTCATGAGGATGATTCTGCAGTGTTTAAAAAGACATGGTCTCGGCAATGGTCTGTCTGCACTGCAGTAACAGTATATCTTGGCTGTCCCAGCCTGGGTTTAACATGGCTTTGAAGAACAGTGGGTACGAAACTACTTTCCCTGAAATGCGAGGTGCCCTGTGGAAATGTTTAAGGTTCTAATATAGCTTGAGGATATGGCTATGATTCTGTCTGCACTACAAAATTGTAATGAGTTGTAACCAGTTATCATGGATCTCCAGGGACTGTGCTATGCCCCAGACTTGAAGTAGTCTCCTGGGAGTACCTCTTCAGTGCTCCATACCCCCAAGGAGTCCCACTTTTCCTCCAGGATAGGCCACACAGCCTCAGCACCTCTGACACTGGGCCTTCAGGCTCCACCCCTCCCGTTTCTCACCATGAGCTCTGAACAGAGAGTCTGACTAAGATAGACATTTGTTCAGACATTTTACCCTCTTCAGGGATCAATGTCCTTCATTAAGTATTTGCAGCAACATCAGGCAGCCTTTCTAAAATGCAATGAGTTTTAATAGTCAACTGGAAAAGAGTGTTGGGAAGTCCTTAGACTAGCAAAGAGAGACACAGGGTAAGACAGAGTCATACTGGCTGAAGCCAGGGCTCCACCAAGCTAGTCTGCCCTAGCATCCATGTGTGTGTGTGTCCCTTTCACTCTGAGTCCTGAATGGCTCCTGTGTGTCTGTGAACCTTGTCCTAACACAATCTCCTATCACCTCTCATCTTTGATCTCTGGACACAGACATGCTTGTTCACATGTTCAGCTTGCCAGAACCTCCTGTGGTTTAGTGTTAATATTCAGACACTGGGGTTCCTGTTGTCTTTTCTGGATCCTCCATTGGTATGTGTTGATTCCAACCAGCTCTTGATGGTGCATTCATACTACCACAGACAGCTAGGTGACCCAGATACCTCAGACCTCCTGCTCAGTTCCAAGAGACATATTTTAATCCCTCTGTCCCAGTGGGTAACAATCTCAAGCCCAACGGGGAGAGGCATATTGCTCATAAACATATTCCAGAGTATTCTCACTTTCATCACATTTCTCCTGAAATGATTGTAAATTGTACTGTAGAAAGGCCTTAAGAAAAACAATTCACAGAATAAAAACCTCATATTTCCATTTCCTTGAGATTGCGATGATTAATCTCCCCTGAGAGCAATTAAAATCTTATGTAAGAGAAGAACTTTTCTTATCATGACCAAAAATTCCAGTAATTATTGTTGTTTCTTTGAACTGTAATTGTTTTTCTAAGGAGAAAATCTCCTTTAACAGCAAAACAGGTACTGAAGGAAAGAAAAGTTTTCTCCTCCTAGAACAATAATACTCAGACTTCAGTAGTTCAGGAGACAAATTAGCGATCAACATTACCCAAAAGAGCCACAGCTGTGTGACTTCATTGTTTCATTTACTGTAGTACAATATATTCATATTTAAACAGTATGACAGGGGAAATATATATACACCTCTACCCCGATATAACGCGACCTGATATAACACGAATTCGGATATAACACGATAAAGCATTGCTCCGGGGGAGGCGGGGCTGCGCACTCCAGTGG